TATATTTTTATATATTATATATAAAATACATCTATATTTACACTTCACCTATTATTCAGATACTTATATATAGTTGCAAGTATAGTTAATATTTAAACTATACACGATATTGCATAACTCCTATTTCTTTATTGATTTATAATATTTATACTTTTATATAACATGTATTTGTTTATATATATGTTTGTGCTCCCAAAATAATTTTGCAAGGCTCTGCCCAATTAATTCTTTTTTTGGAAAACTGCAAAAATTAAAACTTCCAGAAGCGACTATTTTCTGTCATAAGCACTTCTCAACAATCTCCACTGAAAGGAGCAACTCAGCAACACAAACATCCTGTAAGAATATCAGAAGACAGTATGTTAAAGGCCTCTGGTTTATTCAGCTACAAAAAAGGAATGTTACAAAAAGCAGCTTCATAATCCAAGATTAAATGAGCCTGAGGACTCATGAAGCATGCGTATCTTGGTTAATGTGAACTACCTGCTCCTGCTTTTAAGCAGGGCATCATGTGAATATTTCTGCTTGTGTTAATCAGCCTGACAAGTTGCACAATTCTTCCTGGGAACTGAAAAATTAGCTTTTTCTAAACATTTCAGTGATTTTAAAGAGATGTAGACATTGAACCTCTCCTTCAATGTAGATGCTTCTAGTAAGTGAAATAAGTATCTCTACATAGCTGCAGAACAGAGGAATTCCTAGTTGTGTGCACTACTCCTAATGTGAAAGTCTCTGTGCACACAACTTTTCCTCTTCGAAACATCTCCAACAAAGTAACACTGAAGAAAGTAATGAAAAGAGTAACAGAGACAAACTGTCACTAGAGGGTGAGTTTTATCTTTAGCCATCCTTCATATTGTCAGTAGTGCTGAAGTTACTCCTAACGATGTCTTTTTTTAATTATTCATCTATTGATAAATACAAGTACCAACTTAGGATCTCTGCTCTTGACTACTGAAACACAGTGATCTCCAATACTTACCACTGCTCCTTGTTTTACACAGTAGCCAGCTTTGATAATTGCATTATCTGGGGGATGCTTAGCAGGAAAATAAGGAAGGTGACTTTGTGACCGTTTCAAATAATTCCTATCACCTCCTTCACTGCACTCACTCATTTCTTCTTTCTAGAAAAAAAGCAGGAAGATTCAGAATATTTGCAGTGCTTTCTAAAGATCAAATAATAACTATACTAGTTATAACAGGAAATAATTGTATCATCCCGTGTTCACAAATCCCATTTCCTATTTATTTAATAAAAATAAAACATTTGAACTGATTTCTAGAGACCAGTGAGACTCTCCAAGGGTTCTGGTTGAATAATTGCAAACTCCAGTGAGAACTACTCTAAGAAAGGGCTGAATATTCTCAAGCAATATTGACAGACCTTCAATGAAGAGCGTTACAGACCTGAAAACAAGACACATGCAGGTATTTAGTGCAAACTCGTAAGACGGCTTTAAGGGCAAAACACTAGAGGTGGTTATACCAAATAAAAAGCTATTTCTAGGACCACAAGACACATCAGCATTCACCTATTTTTAAATGCTGTTCAGGCATATACACGTAATTTTTATTATATTAATCCAATCTGTAACTATTTCCAGCTCAGAGAACTTCCAGAAACAGATAGAGGTCTGTATCTTCAACACTGCATTCATTCTTCTCCTAGTAACTCTGAATATCTGTGGGTTTTCCTCACTGTTCCTGAACACTAAGATGACGTCGTCTTAGTGCGACTGGAATTCTTACCTCTCACTCAAGTGGAAACGGTTCTCTCACAATCTAGTCTTTTCTATTAAAACTAGGATTGTTTTCCCCAGAATCCCTTACATCACATTTATTTTCACTTGCTTATCTTATTTGTTCACATACACCATTTCATAAGGCCCTTCTACCATAGTTCAATTTGCTGTCATCCTCACTATTTTTAATAGCACAGTGCAAATCTAATCAGCTGACTTAGTCTCCTTTTTCACTTGCTTTTCCTGACAATTAAAAAGACAGAACCTTGGCATTGTTACCACCAGCAATTAATTTCACATAGGCATAATAACCAATATCTGTGAGCAAAACTCAATACTCAATTCCTTAGTCGTGTATCATTTTCTATAATCTTGCATAAAGGTAATAAAATCCTCAAAACAAAAAACCCAGTCAGAATTAAGAGAAGTTGCACATCAAAGTGTAAGTCCTCTGAGCAAGGTGAGAGGCTGACAGCTATATTGCGATACGTAATCTAACACGTTTAAACAACAAAGCTTCCTCTACCAAATTTGCTTTACAGGTGTTACCTGGGTAGGTGTGATGATTGGAACACCACCAACGATTTCTGTCCTGTAAGACACTTGCTTCTTTCCACCTGGGCTTTCAACCTGACGATTTGCATTATCCATCTGACACAGAGGATCAGACTGCTTTGGTACCTGAAAGTAGAATATGACTGTTAGTATTAAAAGTAGAAGACGACCTAAAAAAAGCCTTCATCATTATACCAGCACTTTAATTTGTCTTCAGCAGGATTTAACAAATATTCTCTAATTGCAAAAGGCTAGAAATAGCTTGCATGAAAATCTGGTGGCTATGCTTTAGGTCTCAGAAGAAAACTGCTACCAATAAAAACATTTCACCAGGCATCTTGAAATCTAAAAATCAGTGCTGTATTTGATCTGCAAGAAGCACTGCTCATTTGTAGAAGAACTACTTCTTTATTTTTCACTTGCTTTCAGTTTCAGCAGCAAGCCCTTTAGCCTGGAGGCATTCCAGTGCCCATAGAACACAGCAAGGCCATAAACACAGGGCCACAGTGCTGGGACTTTTCTCAACCAGGATGCCTGACCAGTGCGACATCTGCACTCGCATTCCAATAGCTGGCATGAAGACTGTGTGCACTGTCTCCATTAAACCTACAAATATTGCTAAATTCTGCCCAAAATGTCCCTAAATACCTATTTTTAACTAGGATTAACTATTAGATAATTCTCTCAAATGTGGAACTAAAACAACCAAAACAGCACAGCCATTTAATTTCCCAAATAAGTGTCTTGATCTAAAAGGTTTACCCAGATTTCTGAGTCTGTGCAAGAAACAAACATCTGTAACCTAAGAAATACACTAATAATTGGCTACCCAAGACATTTTCATTTATAATCCCCTTTAATCCCTAATATTAATACCATAAATTTAAAGTGACCTCAATAAGAACAGATCAAGAGTCTCACACCAAAACATCCTAGCCAGCACCCTACTGGATATTTCCACAGGACATCCAAATTCCTTCAGAAAGAAGGGAAGCACAAATCATCTTTACACAGCACATTACCGTGCAAGACTGCACCACGCTGCAGCTCCAGCTTTATGCGGAAGTGCTTCAGCCATCACAAACTCCTATGTAAAAGGTTACAGACCAAACCCACAACCACCTTCTCACAACTGCGTTCCCATCCAGTACTCAGATAGGTAGACAACGTGCTAGACTGCAAAGGTTCAAAGTCATTCTGAAATTATCAGCACTCAGAGTACTGAAAAATGCAACGAGTCTTGGAGGATTACAATCTACAGCAAGTAAGGCTCCTATGGAAATTAATAATTGAATGCTCTTAATTATTTGATGAAATAATTGGGCATACTAAATAGCCTCTGAGCAGATTAACAGTTCAAAGGCTTGTTCCTGCAAAGACAAAAAATACTGATGATTTCACCAGCCATTTAGAATGCACATTAAACATACGATAAACAGCTTTCAGACTAAATTTGATGCAATTAATTCTTTATTCACTCTATTTCTTGAACTGGAAGGAATTCAAGCCTGGTTGTGGTGTGTCCTCCTTATGAAAAAGCCAAGTGAGGAGGCTTTGTGTTTCTGTTTTGATTTTTTCCATTTATTATTAGTAGCAATGTTTTTAAAACTCCAGCGAAAGTGCTACATTAAAACAATGCAAACAACTCACAGAAACATCCTTGGATGACCTAAAAATGAGCAAGTTACTGACAATAAGTATGAAAGTGCACAGCCATGCTCAGAACCCTTTCTTTGTAAAGCGCTCCCAAAACAGTTCATGTCATCACTTCCCCAAAACTGGAGAGAAAACAAAACCATAACTTCTGCTCCTGAAAAGGCCGAGGTAACGCGTGGGTTTGTGTGGCACAAACCAGAAAAATAATGTAAAAAACTTATCAGAAGAATGTATTAATATTTCTTCGAATGGGTGTTACTTGAAACCAAGAGAGAGCCTTTGAAACATGGGATGATGTGTTTGTGCATTACTTTATGATATTTTAAGAAATATAAACTTCTGACAGTACGTGCTGTCAAATGCATGCTGGAATGCATGTGTATCTTTTTAAAATTTAAAATGATCAGAAACTATCATATGCTGTTATGAAAAAAAGATAACCACATTTTTGTCCAATTTCCAAAGTGAAAAGTAAAATAAACTCAAGTTTAGGGGCAGTTATGCACAGCTGGCTCTGGAAAGCCAAGCCAAGCCTTGTCCATAGAGACAAAAAGACTTTTCTAGCGCAGAAACTGGAGGCAAAGGTTACATCTGAGCATCTTGAGACAGTGACCATTGGAAAGCTTTGCTACGTAGCAACTCAACCACTTACTGTGATTTTGGTAGCTTTGTTCAGAACATTTACCCATTCCACTAGGTCCTGCTGATCATTGGCTTGGAGAAAGTATTTTCTCATCCCTGCATTCATAACTGTTAAGAAACATTAGGAAAAGTTAACAACACTGAAATTTAAGAGCAAACTTAACACCATCATAAAAAGATCCGATCTCAAATGGAAAAATCCAGTTGAAATGTTTAAGCTCTCTGATGCATTCCTTTTTAGAAAGTCATCTTAGGATACATACGTCTACTTGACAGGCTTGCTTTATTCTAAAATATATTTTAAGCTCTCCATTTAACAGCATTATACAGAATTTGCTAAATGTTTTTTACCTAAAGCCTTGAATTTTATCAGAATTTTCTACAGCTCCATTTCCCTTCTCTCAATTTCCCCAAGTTTTATACTTGAAGACTACAATTTCTCCTTTTAATCCTCTGACCAGCATCTGTTATCCTTTGCAACAAACTCATTAATGTGACTATCATCATTGATTTTTATTTTTAATTTGTGGAAAAATCAGTACTGATAATAACTATATGAAGCTCAGGATGAAACAACTTTAAAATAGCCAGAATATAAAACTTTATTTTATTATAATGACTTGGCAGAGAAAGGATATTTTTAGTACATTTATATATCTATCTGGCAACACCTAGCATATCTTTATCCAAAAAGGATAAGCACACATTTCTGGGTAACAATAAAAAAACCCCACAGCTGTATTTCTCATAAATTCTAGAAACCTATATTGAAATTAGTTTAAGGATGAACAGTGCCTAAAACCTTCCCGGAACTGGGAAGCAGCTGAAGTCTGAACAGATTTCTGATAGTTCTTCAGCTCACCACTAACACCAAACACATGCCAGAAACAGATACTTTTTACTCTTCTGTCAACTTCCCCCCTCAAAGTGGATGGTTTGAAGCAAGCATTCTTAGATGCAAATATAAATTCAAAATACAGAACTGTATAATGAGTTGACTGCAGCAACTCCCTGTATTTAAATAAGACAATAAATGTAATTTTTTCCTCTGAAGTATTAAAACCACTTTAATAAATCAGAAATATTGAAAGCTTTCAGCCAGCACCTTGCAGCATGAAGGCTTCTTTAGAGCCAAGCCATTGATAACAGCAACTTCCCAACCAACGAAGACAAACACTTCTACAGGTGCATGTGTGGAGGCATCTGTAGATGGCACTGAACTGACACTCGAGGTCCTGGTGTAGCAACCCTGAAGCCTTACACGCAGCAGCGATTTATCGAGTATTTCACGAGCTGGTGAGACTACACAAGTGGACCTGCCTTCTCAACGCTGCACATGGCAAAGGACACCTTAACTAATTGTCATAAAACCTTCAGGTATTTTCAGTGCCTTCATCTGGGCTGAAATTCTGATGCGAATGCAGCCATAACAAATGGTTATTCATAAACAGAGCAGAGGCCAATTCCAGTCTCCACACATACTTTAGTGAATGCCAATTGCTTGTAAAAAAAAAAATCTGGAGTTATGGTAAACTCTGGACAAATTACTTTTAAGAAAAATCTGAAAAAAAAGACACCATAAGGGACTTCTATGGTTATCTTGAGCTTTACTCAAATTTAAACAAGTTTAAGTATCAATAAACCTAGAAGGCACAACAAGCAATTTCCTTTTCTTTGGTGCAGCAATACAGGCTGGAATTTAACCTAAGAGCATTGGCTGACAGTATTTTTAGATCAATTAAATCAACTCTTATCAGTAATACAGATTAAAACAGTTAAATTACTTCATAGCTGTCAGGCATGCCATGTTTCTGAAAACACCTATCGGTTCTGATTAGCTTAGTAATGCCTCAATTTCAAACATCTGAAAACCAGCTCTCACCTACTCCTTAATTTGCAATATGAAAAGCCACAAAAACTCCTTATGAAGAAGCCAACATTTCCCTCATCCTAAAGAGGAACCAGTGAATACATGCTTTTTTTTTTTAAAGACGTTACCAGCTGTATCTAGTAACAGAATTGCAGAACAATCTTTGTTTCAGATTTCTGAAGATTATATTTGATGCACATGACATACAAGAACTTACCAAAACAGAATTCTGCCTTTGGCCTTAGCTTCGTTGCATCGCTAACCTAGTAGGGAAATTAAGATTGTAAGTATCACTGTGCATCCAAAATATACATCAGATATCACATTTTTCTGTTTCAAGTGGCTAAACTTGAAGATTAGCAGCATAGCAAGCTTGTTAGGTATAAGGATATACAGATATAACAAAAGTTACTCTATAAAATTCAGTTCAAGATGTGCAACCCATGGTAAGAGAACAGCTTCAGCCATTTGTTGCTATATTATAGAGCACTTCTGACAAGGGTGGGGGAGAAGGCAGAGCAGTCTCTCACATCAAAACTTTTTTGGCCAGAAACAAACCCCATGCATTTCATAACTAGAAGAACTATGGAAAGTTTAACAGAGCCCCCACACAGGAGGAACACTTGAGTTGCCTTCAAAGGTTCACACAGGTGACCACTCCAATCCCTTTAAAACTGAGATAGAAAATTTCAGCTTCCTTAAGATGACAACTGTGAAGTCTGGGGCAAAGTAAACATAGAAGGAGGAAACCAGGAATGACATAAGCAGGTCTCCACTGTCATCTCTGTACTCATGGTATAGCCAGCATCAATAATATCTTTCACAAGAATAAATAAAAACAAGCAGCTTTTAAAACTGTCTGAAATTGAGGTCTTCAGAAGCAGCCCTTGGTAGTTAGCATCAAAACATAATAACATGTCTTACATTTTACCTTACCTTTGAAATATAGGTAAGTTTAATGACTCCAACAGGTGGAGACCCAGAGGGAAGATTCTGAAACAAATCATATGTTACAAAGTGAAACCAGGTTATTCTCAAATCACAGTCAGTGTTTACACATAAAAAGCAAGTAATTCCATAAACAAAAAGAAAATCCTACGTGTTTTTATAGACAATACACAATGCATGCTTGAAACAGGATCTAAACTACCTGTTTATTATACACACATCTGTTAATCAACTAAAAACAGAAAGACTGCTCGAAACAATACAAACACTAATTGTTTCGGAGGTTTATGTATTTTACTAGAGGAAAAAGAGCTCTTGCAGGTCTGGATCCAGGAAATCCGGAAAGAATACTTTTTCCTTAACAGATGTTGGCGTCTTCTGTGCTTCGACAAGGGCAGGCGGAAGGGACAAGAAGTGACATTCATCTATTACGTCAGCTACTTCAAAGGCCAGCCCATGTATTTTCCAAACCAGATTGGAAAATCCTAATCTTATCATTTAACACTAAAGTTATTGCAAGAAAGGCCCATGATACTTCCTAAAGTTGCAGTTAAGCCTTAGTGTATTTACAATCCAAAAAGGAGCTGTCCCTTGTTTGTACATCCTTGCTTAGCGCACTGGTCTTAACATTGACATTGCTATTCCCAATCAGTCAATAGCCTAGGAATACAACAGCTATACAACTGAGCATTACAAACCATAGTTAACCTTTAATTAAGTGTTTCTGATGAAACAGCCTTCCTAATTTTACTCCTTTAAATAGAGCATTGCTTTCCATATATTTTTTTTTTCAATTACAATTTTTATTTATTTTCAAAATGGCCCTATATGTTACAATATCGCTGTTCCCACTACAGGCCTCCCCAAAGACCACAAGAATGGTACTGGATCTGCTCACTGGTCCTTTCCCCAGCTAAAGTGCCTTATGAGCAAATAAGTAGTTTATGCTGCATCCATATTTCAAAGGTAAGAAGTAGGTGACATTTACTATAGACTAATAACACTGAAATTTAATTTAAAAAGTCTTCCCATTCTACCCAAATCAATAAATTTAAACTTTACTTTATTAGTGATTTTGATCCCAACACACACCATATATATAATCTTTATATTACGGTAATAATACGTGGTTACTGACAGACTTTCAAACGTTATTTCCTTGAACTGATTTTCATAGATACAAATAGAGCAATTCTATCAGCAACAAAGGGCCCGCTGAAGTTCTGCCCACACTGCAGACTCATCCTATATGAAGAGTTTCATCGCTTCAAGGATTAAAAGTGGTCTCCACACAGAGGCTCTACAAAAGCTCTGCAGCTCTTCGAAACTAAAGCAGCAATGGAACAAAAATTGAGACGCTTCAGCTTGCCCCTTAAAATGCACCCTTTCATTTGTGCATGAACTTTAACACTTGAAAAAAAATGAGAAAGCCTAAACTAAAATCTGAGATGTGTGCACCGCAAATATCATTAGTCTTAAAATTTCAGACGAACTGCAATTTCTATGGCATTTCAAGTATTTGCCCACATGCCCTGGTGATAGCGCAGAAGAAACTGAAGAAAATAACTGCTTCATATCACTCATTGAGATCAAACATTTGAAGTCTCTCGTGTCCAGAAATTCTCTCTTTTTTTTCTCCTCAGTAAGAGCTTCTGAATGCTTCAGTCACAAGTCGCAGTCATTGAACTAGATGTAATTTAATTTTTCTCCTCGGTTCCTTTGAACAGTGGACTCCATTGCATTTTAACTGTGGTCTTGGCAGAATGGGGCAGCAATACTATTCTGGCAGACAGTTGTCAGCTGACCAAGATCCTCTGCTTTCACTGTCTGTGTACCCAATTTCTAAGCAATTATCTGTTCTCCCTATGCTAGAAAACACATTGTACATTGTAAAAGTAGCTTTTCTATAAAGGATGCTCTCCATCACAAAGATACAAGCTTTTTGCATTCACATATCATTCATGCAGTATTGAAACTGCAAGCATGATTAGAAACTGCTTTTCAATGACTGATTCGGTTGAAGAAAAGGGACATAAAAGTGTCAACTGACCCATGCGATATAAGGAAAACTACACACTGCCGCACAGGGTTAAAGGCCAGTTAAGACCTGAAATAATGAATCTAGTATGTGATTCAGCTCATCTGCCTAGGACAACCTGCAGTGCACATTCAGGACACTTGATAGAAAACAAAATAAACAGAGCACATTGTGATTCAAAACAAATAACTGATCTACGTGTGGCATCAGATTCCTATCTGATCCCAAATTCTCCTGTCAATACTTAGACTCTATGTACTGGCAATTCATTGATGTTCCAGTTGCTTTTATTGTTTTACTATTAGCACTATATCGGTAATATTTTAAACAGAAACATGAATTACATTTTTTCTTTCAAGTATTGCACACATTAGCAAAGAAGAGACACTGATTTACAATGTTTTCCCTTTTCTAACTCACCCCTCCCCTGCAAGCTTCCAGGTCCATAAAAGAATAATAAACCCCATTTTTCTTAAGTATATTTGTTAAAAACCTGAAGAAGTTTAAACTGATAGAAGCCAGACAATTACTGCCAAGAACACCTCACCTGTGGGTTATCCATGTACCACACCAGACTGTCTTCTCGTGTGTCCAGAATGAAGTACCGCCGCAGAAATTTCCCACTATTCTCATTTTCTTCAATGTCTAGGAAACCACAAATGCGATTCTGACGATCCACATAAGGCATTTCTGACCCTGAACATCACACTGCAGAACAAAAAGCACAGAAGTTCAGCAAAGTTCCTCCTTACTGATTTTAAGACTGTTCTGTGCCTACCCATGACATTTTGAGCATTTTCAACTTGTAGCTTCAAGAAGCTTCTACAGAGTAAGTGAAGCGTAGCTGCTTCCCCCACTACCACCACTGAACTTTCAGATCAGTCTTCCTTACATCTTTGAAGCTTATACTTGGGATATCTAACACCCTAAGCACAAAATACAAGTGGTAAACAGCAAATGAGGATCCAGATGAGCTTTCGCAAGATCCCTAAATTAAAATCAAAGATTTTCCTTTGCAACTTGCACAAAGTTGAGATAAGGTTGGGTTTACACTTCCTCCTTTGACATTGCCTTTCATGGGCAAGAAAGGATCTTTGTCAGCAGCTCTACTCTCCAACACTTTTTTTTAATATTTTGCTTAGGCAAATGCAACAAAAATGCTTTTAGAAACGTTGTTCACATGTTGCTTTTCTCCTACAAAAAGAACCTCATGTCTAACCACGTCTAAGAACAGACACTTCTTCAGCCTTATACATTAAACAGTCAGGATGAAGTTGTATATGCACAGAGATGTGAACACACTTGCTAGCCCAAAACTTAAACCCTCAATAGCCACATGGTGCTAAGCTGAGGGTGGTAGGCTTTTTTAAATATTTTTTTTTCTTTGCCTTTTTTTGTTTTTCTTTAAAAAAACCAATAAATTAAAATCTGTGCTGCTGATCACCTATTCCCATTTTGCCTGCTTCACCTTTTATGGCTCTGTTTTACTGCAGGCTATTGCATCTTTTTTTTTTTGCTTCCTTTTATTTCAAAGGACAGCCATTTTACCTTAAGAGCCAGCCTTGCAAGACCAAAGATAAATTTGCATACTCATCTGAAAATGGCAATAAACCAACATTTAAATATGATAAAGATCAGGCCATTCCCAATCTCTCCCAGAGCAGGAAACAATTGAGTCTTCTTTACATTTTGTTACAGAACTCAGAAACAGTCATACCCAAACACATTAACATGAGACACAGAAGGTTCCTCATAAAGCTTCACAGTCCTTCACAGCAGCACTTCACACTTTGCTTTACAACTTTCAGCTTTCACTGCATAATATGGAAATTTCTTTTTAATATTTCTTGAAATTGTTTACCTTCGCTACTTCCTTGCTTGAAGTTATTTGATTTACATACTTATATACACACACAGTGAGGCAGACACCTGATAAGTACATAACTAGCTATTGATATACCATAGTAAAATATAATGTACAGTTAAGCACATTTTAAAGAGTTTATTTTGGGAAATCAGAGACACAGATAAGCACACACTTACTTTTGGGGGTCAGATATACAAACATGTAGATACATGCTTGTTTTTACAGCTATCTTTCTATATGACTGATTAGAGTACTAGGCAAATTTTGTTTCAACCACTTTGAGAAACATTCTTTAAAATACCTATTATCATTATTTTGATACCATAGAAGAATTTCCAGCAAGGAGTTTTAAGTCATTTAACTCAATCTGTAAAATAAGTAATCTTTTTGTGCCCAAACCCAAACCAACCCTCTGGTGCAAACTCCAGTCTGATACATTAAGCGTGGCATCAAGGATCAGATCTAACAATCTCAATCCAGTAGTATTTGCAAAATATCAAAGAGATTGCAATATCATAGTGCTGACAGACTACTGAAATCGTTAGTGGTTTGGGTTGTTTTAATATAAGCTATTAAATTCTAAAGTTAAATGCATTTGTGTGTCCCACAAAGTTAACACACTTTGGTTTGAGATGCAAGACGTTTTCTACACAGCTACAAGGACGTTTAAATGTGTGTAAGCCTTCCATTAAGTGCTTCAGTTTTCTTTCTACCTCCTTTCTTTCTCCTTCCAGAAGGTAAGGGAGTCTCCATTTCTAGGGTTTAAAGCAACAGTTTAAATCCTAGAAGTTTGTCCTTCGATAGAATAAAAATATTTGCTGAGGCAGTCTAAATTTTATTGCCATGTTCCTCACAATATAAATATTGCATATCTAAGACCAGTTCTGTAACCAAGTTATAGTAACAGCAAAAAATTAACACTTGAGCACTCTTAAGACAGTGTCATAATTGTAATGAACATTTATCAGTAATTCATGTGCTGGCTCCTGGGATCGCTTTACACTGAATCTCCCTATAAACACATCTGCATCTGTAGCTAGGGGCAAGCTTAATTCTCTAAATTATACCTCTAAGTTGGCAGAACTTGGCATCACACATTGTTTTCATTTAAATGAATATGATAATTATACCAGTATTGTCCTAAGTTGTGCCAGGTGGTCCCTCAACAAAGTACACACCGCTTCCGGACACCATTGCAGTTTAATGGCAACAGTTTATGAAGCCCAGAAAAGCCCTGTGCCTAAAAAAAGCAAATATTGGTGGCTGGTTTCCTGTCTGAGCAAGCTTAAGCTGTGCTCTCTGCAGATGTGATGAAAATGAAACAAGGAAAATTTGGTTTTGAAGCAAAATACAAATCAATGAAGAATCCTTGAATAAAACCAACTGAATTTTCAAAGCATTTTCCCCTACAGAAGAATCTAGGTTTCCAAACAAAAGTCTCTTAAGAAAAGTGAGAGGACGACACTCACAATGCTCCATTATGAGCATACAAAAAACCTAAATTGAACTATTCCAATATTTCAACTTTTTTCCCCTGGGACAAGAGAAAAAAAAAAAATCAGACAATTTCTCCTGCTTGTCAAAAACCTGATTTTTACAGAAAACTCCCTAAATTCACACAGATTTTCTATTTCAAAGTACTACCTAACTTCTGCCTACAAAACGATACTATTTCCAGTTCCTTTCTCCTCTGATGAAAACACAGGATAAGCTATCATTAATTTAAAAACTCCAGTTGCAAATCTGCTGTTTTATTTAGATTAGTTCTAAATTCCTCATGGGATTACTGACATCTACCAGAACGATGCTTTTAAAGAGTAAGAGATTAAAAAAGCCCCGCAACTCTGTATTAAAATTGAAATGTAACATAAAATCATGCAATTGTTTTCCGGTTTTAAAAGTCTGCTTCCACCACGTCACAACTTGGCAAGATTCCACCAGGAATTAATACCAATTCTAGTCAGTGTTCATTAACGAACCGCAATTTGCAGTGCATATTAAAAAAAAATCAATTTGTGCCTTTCTTCCAGTTCGTAAAGCAAAGGAACGCACATGACACAACCAGCACTACAGCGCCCTTCCTGGCAACTCCAGACAGACCAAAAAAGCAACGACAAAGGGATTACTGAATTTCTTCTACGGATTCATAAAGGGAATTGCAGAACTCCAACATCAATTCCTCGGTGTAGGAAATCTGGCTGAAAATCGCCAGCCTAACAATTCACCAGAACTTCAACTGAAAAGTGTCTTCAGAATACAGATCCTATCTGGCATATTTTTTTTTCATTAAATTATTATTTCAGGCAATTATAAACCAAAAATCTCTGCATACATTTCACAGCTCTTACGACATGCACTCTTAGTTATTTTCTGCAGCAGAATCTGCGGCACAGACCAGCGCAATAACTCTTCTGCCCACTTTTAGAATCAAATATTATTAAAAGATTGAGTCCTTCAAGAGAAAAGCCGAAGGCATCAAGCCTGCAACAGATTACATACAACTTCATCTTATTTTGGAGTGAGGGGGAGTAGGGGAGGGAGGAGACATGGGCCAATGCCACAGTGCTGCTTCAGAAAAAATATCCCTGTGGCCCATTTCCTCTTGGTTCTTGCCATAATCCACCAGAAGCTGAAATATTTTTGAATACGCATTTTGCAGTGTATCTTGACACTCATATGTAAGAATTTAGAAAACTCTCAGCTCCTTAAAATTCCTTCTTGGAGGGTTGTGCTATAATCCAAACAGGAGGACTCACTTATTTTTGAAGTCTTACATCCCTCTTTCCAGCGGCACTGTACTAATTTAAGCAGGTGCGTACCCCATCTCTCAGATTTCCCCTCTCATCGCTCTTTTCCGCTGAGGTTATACCATAGACCGACATTCCTCAACATTTATATCACAAACCAAAGGCTGCCCGGCCTCCTGGGCACCACTATAAATAAAAAATCACCGATCACCTTCTCCCAGTCTGTAAATGTAAATGCAAGACTGCACAACCAGAACCTGCAGACACATACAGACATCTCGTTTTCACCATCTATAACAGACTGCTTAAACTCTCCTACATTAATTTCTATTTTTAGTTGCACACCAGCACCTGCTTTTGACTTCATCTCCTTTGCAGTTTGGTTGCAGCCTCCACATCTTCAAGCACAAAGTCTATACAAGATTATTAAAGTGGCAGGCAAAGTAACATTTTTATGGCCCAATCTCTCCTCTGACAGCTACTGCTTGATTTCCACACGTAGGCACAAACCAGAGCACTGGATTACTAGAGAAAGTGGAATTTTGTATTAATAAAAAGACCATGGGATAGGCTTTGCACTATCCATATAACAGCTAAAGAAATACAGCAAGATGTGTGCTGTTCCTTAATACCTTTTAGCTCTATTTTACAAGTATTTCCCTCAAGCTTTGTGTATAATTTTATTATTATTTTTATTTCTTTAATTGAAAACACATCTACTTCCTGCTCTATTAGCATGTGCATATTTTGAGCTCTGGATTTAACCTGCCACAGGAGATGTACTTTGGGGTTCTTTCTCTGTTAGCTAAGAAGATTAAGAAACATATATTACCTGCTTACTCATCTCTCTGAAATGATCAACATTTGTAAAACTACACTAGATAAATATAAAAGGATGCTGTGAGTCATGCCCATCCCTCCTCCTCATCCCCCTTTTTAAGCTCTACCATTTCGAGCTTCATCACAAGGGGAAGGTAAGCAGCATCCCCAGCAATTTTGAGTCTCTCCTGCAGTTCAGGGACAGCTTCATTACCGAGTGCCCTTGGCTTTCGTAGGCAATTACCAGCTGCTTCCTGCTGTAAATCAGC